AGTGTAACTAAGCCACATAATGTTTTTTCTTAGTAAATATGGCGTGAATAGAGTTTTGGAACTCTATAATATAGAGAATTCTAAGCATAGCGCTTTTATGTAGCCTAGTTGAGAATGGAAAAAAATTTCCAATATCCTAGGGACAGTGGGAGCGATGTGCCTACTAATGGATTACTCCATTAGAGAAGAATACTCTACATTCTTAGTTGTGTGGTAGCGAATGTGAAAATTTTCCACGTCATCACTGGGTGATTGAGCATGTTTTGCTAATCATTTTGCTTTGCTTGGCTTGCCTTGGAGTACTAGGTGAGCATTTTTTAGTTTTAGCATAATGCATTGCATGTTAGTGTTATAATATCAAACATATTTCCATGAGGCTAATTGCTTAATTAATATACTTGTTTGAATGTCGGTGGATGAAGGTTAATTGGTAAAATTAGGATAAAATTGACTAATGTACGAACTCACTTTTTTTAAGTGAAGTGTATCCAAAACAATTTTCAAACAAACATGAAATCAAATCGCACCATTGAGGAAAGTGTAGACCATGAGAAGACTTCCTCCTGGGGAGTGAGGTTATTTTGACTTAGGCTATAATTGACGTAAGTTCGGAACATTGATTTGTGGACATTGTGACCTAACTTTCTCGTTAGAGAATTGGATAAGTAGATCCGTAGGGATTTACCTTCTGCTTTTATGGTGAAAAGTTAGGAGCGCAAAAAGGTTGCTAGTTCCAATAAATCTTTTACAGCCTAAAACAGTTATCCAAATAGTGGTTCTTAGATTTCGTCAAGCCATGATAGGCTGACAATGAATGATGATCGATGAAGACCACAGAGGCATGATCAATGGTCCAAAAGAAGTTTTTCCTTACTTAGTCATTATAAGCCAGGAATTTATAAGGTTGTCGCCACCTAGAGTGAGCAGTCCTCTATTTTAGATATGATGGACATGGGTGATGTAATTTATATGCTCGGATGTACGATCCTTCGGGATTGTTTTGGGAAAATTCTCGGTTTGTCTTCGATGACTTACATAAGGAATATCCTAGAATGATTCTAGATGCAAAATTGCAAATCCATTGACTTATCTATCGGTAAAAGCCAGAGCCTTAGCTATTGAGTGAATCCTCGGATTGTCTTTGGGAGAAACAAATGACCTATATTCCTTGATCTTTTCTTTGTTGTGGGAGCCTAAAGTACGCTATGTGGGCGTATTCGGCATGATAAGTGTTATCTTCGGTAAATGGTCAACTAAGTTGTTTAGACATTGACCTTGCTCATTAGACTGTGGATAAAATGCTTTATTAGTAGCATATTAATTTGCTCTTTGTAAGATTCAATGCACTAGTTGGGCGCATCTGCGCTAGTTGGGCGCATTAAGAATGAACTCAAATTGGTCACCAAAATATCTTTAGAGAGGTTATTGCGCAAGAGGTAATGATCTTAAATCAGTTCATGTGAGGCTCACATGGTGGATTCTGTTGTATATACTTATCGCAAGAGGTGCTGATAAGGCTTATGTTTGGAATCTAGAATTGTGATCTTGAATCACTTCTATGAGATGATGGGATGCTGACACTATTATGGTTTGTGTCATAATGATTAGCAGATGATGATGTCAGCAAGCAAGATTGGCTCACTCACACGAGCAATCGCCCTTGGCGCTTGGGAGCGAGCAAGGATGAGACTGGTGGTTTATTTTTATTTGGAGCCAAGAGAGGCTTAAATCATCCACTATGTATGTCGCCTTGGTTATAACCAAGATGAGGTCGTGTTAAGGACCAAACATGGATGTTAGTACCCACTTTCCATGTTGTGCCTGTTATGATTAGCCAGATACGAGATCTCATTTGGCGCCTGGAAGGCGAGCAAATAGAGAATTCGGGTTAGGCGGTAGAAATGGACTAGACTAATATCTGTACGGTGTATCGAGTATGACGTCACTCTTTATGGAAGAGTTACTTCACCGTAGCATGTATTCATACTATATGTGCTTGGCGACCGAGTAATGATGTGAGAGAATGGATCCCTGTTTCCTCACCGTGTGAGTGTTACGTGTCATTATTGATATGACTTTCATTTATGTACCCTTTTGTGACTTTTGACTATGTCATAAGGTAAGGGGTTGATGTTCTGCTACTTTGGTATGTTGCCTGCGGTCATGTATGATTCGGCCTTAAGGGACATCACTGGGAAAGCGGTCAATCCTAAATTAAATGGCATGAGGGCAAAGAGAAGATCATCTAGTATTACACCACTATTGTATATTCACTGCCGGGAACTCACATCGCTCTGTATGAGAGGCGAATTGAGTGTGAATATATTGCAAGAATTGAGAGGGTCAAACATGCTCTTTTTGAGGGATTAAAGATGTTTTTTTTTGGACCGGTGTAATTAGATGGGTCTGGGGTATATGAGACACTATTTTTTTTCTTTTTGGGTTGATGTCTGTATGCTGGCTCATTTTGAGTTTCTAGTATAGAGCTCCCACATGCAGGTGTTCTCAGCAGTCGCACGGTGCAGTGGCTAGTATGAGATTGTTTATTTTTTAGGGAGATTGAGATAAATATGTGGCAGTGTCATGCCAACTCATGTATGAGTAGGAGATGTTAGAAATTGGGCGCCCATGTGGCATGACCCTTAGAACCTTTTGAACCTGAAACTTTTGAACCTGAAACTTTTGAACCTTATCCATGTAAGTTTGAATTTGAATTCAAAACTTATTTGGATAACCATTCAGGATATCTGTATCTATCATATCAATAGATATGGATAGATGGATAGATAGATATTGGTTATATATCAGATTATATGATTAATCTAAAGATATACGTATATCAGATATACGTTATGTGGTTTTTACCCATAACCTTTTTTCCCAAACTCTCTCTCTGACTCTCTCCCAGAAAACAACGATCAAGCCATCTTGCATTGTGACTTGTGTGGGTGATACTCATTTTGTAGTATCATTCTACTGCTGGGTTCGTTGTTCAGATTTTGGAAGCACGTGATTTACCCACGAGATTGTGTCATTAAGGTATGATCCGAATTATTTTTATCCGCTGCGTTAATTAATAATGCTTTATGTTTTACAATATTATTAGTAAAATTAGATTACAATTAAAAGGATTTGCCACTTTTCTATCGGAGCGAATTTCTTAAGGTGTACACCTCAAGGTGAGATTATAAGACCACTAGATCACACCCACTACAAAAATTTAAGGTTTTAGAAACTAAAATTTAGGGACAAAATTATTTTTCAGTGACCAAATATTTTTGTTGCGAAAAGTGCCGTTATTATATTTTTAGCAACAAAAATTAGATATTAGTGATGAATTTTTATCCTTTTGGAACTAAATTTTTTGTCTAAAAAAATAAAGCATTTTGAGACCAAATTATTTTGTCCCTAAAAATCTATTTATTAGTAACATTTTTAAAATTTTGTCGCTAAAAACCTTGTTTTGAATTTTTCCGAGACAACGTTTTAGCGACTATTCTCATGACGATAAAAATTAATCCGTAAATGTCTTTTACAATAAAATTTTTATTTTTGAGACCAAAATATTTGGTCTCTGAAACCCTTATTTGTTAGAGTGACCTAAGGTCTTGAACAAGCATGTTCATTGGCATATATAAGCTATTAAGGCTTCATATTTCTTCAGTTAACAAAAAGTCAAACTGGAATAAATGTTCAAAAAAGTTAGGGTTCCAAAACTAAGATCTTAGAATTTATCTAGAATGAATATGTATGATAAAAATCAAATTAATAAAATATGGTATCTATGAGTAAAATAAATTTGAATTACTAATTCTTATTTGTAGATAAATTATGAATAAATAATTCTAAATTTGTAATGTTGCTAATAAATGGTAGAGTTGTAGACTTAATTTTTATAGAATGGAATAAGTGAAATACATTCATTTTTTTTATCAATAAAAAAAACTTCATTAATGACAAAAACAAACATTTCATATGAGATAACGTGAATAAAGCAGTGGAAGCTAAGTTCACATGCATGGTTGACTAGGTTCACATGCCTGGTTGACTAGTGATCCCAACAATAACAATCATCAAACACAACATATCCGCCCGTTTAATACTTTTGAACCAAATCACATGTATTAAGTAAAATTGACTTTGAGGACCAACATATCCGCCCGTTTAATACTTTTGAACCAAATCACATGTATTAAGTAAAATTGACTTTGAGGACATGATTATAAAATCACTGTTACCTGTTCCGTCATGCACATCTCAACCTCAACCTCAACCTAACACAATTTTTCCATAAATCACTTGCCATACCATGGACCTACTATTTTCCATTTATTTATTTTTAGTCTTATATATATATATATATATATTATCTAATTTTGGTTTGTATAATTTTAATTACCTTGATATTGATCCTGAAATTTTGTTTGTCTGAATTTGGTCAAAAAAATTACAATTTGTAGTTTTTTTTTTTTACATAGATAATATGCACAGCTGTTACCTGTTCCGCCGTGCACATCTCAACCTCAACCTATCACAAATTTTCCATAAATCACTTGCCATACCATGGACCTACTATTTTCCATTTATTTATTTTTAGTCTTATATATATATATATATATTATCTAATTTTGGTTTGTATAATTTTAATTACCTTGATATTGATCCTGAAATTTTGTTTGTCTGAATTTGGTCAAAAAAATTACAATTTGTAGTTTTTTTTTTTTACATAGATAATATGCACATAAATGACATGCGTTATATTTTTATACATAATGTTGTAAATTTATTCAACTTATTAAGTTAACTTCAACCAAATTAGTAGTCATTTTTCTTTAAAAATCTTAAGCGACGTTATCAATTGAATCAAATTGAAACAAAATCTAAAATCAAGAGCTAAAATAAAGTTAATTAAAAATACAAAAATCAAAATAACATAAAGAATAAAGTGTAGGGACTACCAAAGTAAGGTACCCAATCATATATATACACATATATGTTGGCCAAACCCAAAGTGCATGTGAAAGAAGAAGAAGAAGAAGAAGAAGAAAGTTGCAAGTTGCAAAGCAACAAACAAAATGGAAAATCAAAGAAACAACCTCCTTGTGTCATCCTTTCTTGTTTATGTCCTCCTCCTCCTAACCACAGCAGCTAATGCTCAACTGAGGCAGGACTTCTACCACAACATATGCCCTAATGTCGAATCCCTCGTCCGTTCTGCTGTTACCAACAAGTTCCACCAGACCTTTGTCACTGCACCCGCCACGCTCAGACTCTTTTTCCATGATTGTTTTGTCCGGGTAATTCCATATTTATATAAATATATACTTTTTGTTTGAGCAATTTATTTTTCTTGATCGATATTTATATACTTACTGTTATTGATTTTGAACTATGTATATAGGGTTGTGATGGTTCAGTGATACTGCAAAATGGTGGTAAGGCTGAGAAGGATCACCCGGATAATCTTTCATTGGCCGGAGATGGATTTGACACTGTCATCAAAGCCAAAGCGGCTGTGGATAGCGATCCTCAATGCAGAAACAAAGTTTCATGTGCAGACATATTGGCTTTGGCTACTAGGGATGTCATAGCCTTGGTATATATATATATTCCATCTATCTACACCTATTATTATTCCAACAAATATTATGTAACCAATTTTTTCTTTGCTAAGTCACATTATTAATTAATTAAAATTAATTCTAGCTATAATATATACATATATGCAGGCTGGAGGACCATCTTATTCAGTGGAATTGGGAAGACGCGATGGGCGAATATCAACTATAGCTAGTGTTCAACACAAACTTCCATCGCCAAATTTTAGTTTAGATCAGCTCAATACCATGTTTAGTTCCCATGGTCTCACCCAGTCAGACATGATCGCTCTATCAGGTGAGCTACACAAATTAAACTTCAATTTTTTAGTCCTAATTAGTTACTTGAGAAATTTATGCCATAAGTTCTTATAGAAAATGAAATGTATGTACTTAATTCATTTTAGATGTGAGTCATATCATATTAAATTTAAATTTGTGCTAAAATTTCATTTTCTACTCAGTTTTAGTATTACTTTTTCGGGGCTTCCTAGCTAGTTTGCTTTTTTCTTTGTCTTTTACATATGTATATATATTCAATATACAATTAACAATGGAATAGAGTTTGAAAATGCTACCTAAATTTTTTTTCATAAACAGCGTGAACAAAAAATCATTCTAAGTGTGCCTAATCTTAAAAATCAATCAATAAATTTATTAATTTGTGTTCTAATAAGCAAGTTAGTAATGCTTAATTTGTCTCTCCTGAATTGAAGGTGCACATACAATTGGTTTCTCTCACTGCAGCCGGTTCTCAAATCGCATCTAAATTTTTTTTCATAAACAGTGTGTGAACAAAAAATCATTCTAAGTGTGCCTAATCTTAAAAATCAATCAATAAATTTATTAATTTGTGTTCTAATAAGCAAGTTAGTAATGCTTAATTTGTCTCTCCTGAATTGAAGGTGCACATACAATTGGTTTCTCTCACTGCAGCCGGTTCTCAAATCGCATCTACAATTTTAGTCCCAGAAATCGAATTGACCCTACGCTGAATTTAAGTTACGCCCTTCAACTAAGACAAATGTGCCCGATTAATGTTGACCCAAGAATCGCCATTAACATGGACCCAACAACGCCTCAAACGTTTGACAATGTCTACTTCCAGAACCTTGAGCAAGGAAAGGGTTTGTTCACCTCTGATGAAACATTGTTCACGGATGGTCGATCAAAGGCCACTGTGAACCTATTTGCTTCCAACAATTCTGCTTTTAACCAGGCTTTTATAACTGCTATTACCAAGCTTGGCCGAGTTGGAGTAAAGACAGGGAACCAGGGAGAGATTCACCGTGATTGCACTGCTATCAACTAGAATTAACTAGAACAAGAAATCTAGTTAGCTTTTCGATCTATTTCCAGACATATCATATTACTTCTTTTCTCTTCTCTTCTGTAATAACTACTAGAATTTGTTCTACTTATTTCTTTTCTTGAAGAGATTAATAATTTGAGGCCATCCATGTATCTTTTTCTTTATTCTTTAATCAATAATATTGATATGATTTATTCAATATTACTATGATGACTGCATAACAAATTAGTTATTATCAATTTTTGTCCCCCTAACAATTCATCCAAGGGACTAACCAATTTGTACCACTTTTCAAACACTTCTCTTGCATTTGACGCAAAAAATTTAAGTAACTTTTGCCTTAAAATAAGAGGTTATTACTTGGCAGTAATGTTAGGGGGGAAAAATAGATATCCAAATTTATAAAAAAATTTACAAATTTAATTATTAATTTTTATAAATTTTTTCATTAATATGTTATTATTTTTTCAATACCCTCTGATGTGATATTTCACCTTAAAATAACTAGCAATGACTTTTAAAATGTCAAACAACTATAGCATAGTTTGACAATGGGCAACATACTTAACATTAATCAAAGGCAATTCAACATTCTATCCTCCAACTATGTTTTCATTCCTCCATCTCACCTACCGGCCACAACTACGTCTATAATGTGGATAAATTACAAATATTTGTTTAAAATATGAATAGTCTTTTGTGGTTTAAAAAATTACAAATACTTCATTGTCAGAATTTTTTATTTAACAGAATTAATTGAAAAAGTAAAATTTCTAATTGTTCACCTATACAATAATAAAATTATCTGAATTATTAATTGAAATAAAATTTTGACATTATTAAAAACTGTTAATTAACTTGATGATTTATTAATAAAATGACCTATTTGTTATGAAATTTGATATGGATTCTAGTGCAGAAGCAACAGCCACAGCTTCAGCTTCAGCAGCAGCTTCTGATATGGCTACTTCAACATTCAAGAACAGAGCTTCAACTGCAGTTTCATATAGTCAGTTAGGAATTGGTTAGCTAATTGTTAGGAGTTAGTTTCACTGTTAGGAGTTAGTTATCTGCTTAGATCAGCAGTAGTTTATCTTCTATAAATACAACTTGTATGTACTATCAACATTAATAATAAGAAATGCATTTTCCACATGGTATCAGAGCAATAAAGCTCTCACGAGCATTCTTGGGTTCTTGATTTCATTTTCTCAGTTCTTCCAAGAATCTTCAAGTTTTCTCGATCATTCTTCAAAGTTCTTCAATCTTCTTCAATGGCAACTCCTACCTCCAATGCTCTTCCTTCAAATCTTAGTCTTCTCATTTCAAATCTCAGTTCTTTCATAATTGTAAAACTGGATTCTTCAAATTTCATCATTTGGAGAAGTCAATTTCTCAATATATTGCGTGCTACAGATTTGCTAGGGTTTGTTGATGGTTCTCATTCTTATCCACCATCAACAATTACAAATGCAGATGGAACCACAGCAGTTAATTCAGAATTTTTGCAGTGGAAACAAATTGATGCACATCTATTGAGTTGTCTAACAGCTACACTCACACCTGTAATTTTCTCTTCTGTTTTACATCTTCAACATCGTGCAGAGGTTTGGCAAGTTCTGTCAAAACGATTTACTACATTGTCTCGCAGTCACATTCATCAACTGAAAAATCAATTGACTAATCTGACCAAAACTTCTTAGTCAATTGAAGAGTATCTGAGTCAGATTAAAGAGTTAGCTGATCAACTTGCTCTTGCCTCTTCTCCTGTAGATGCAGAAGATCTTGTTCTTCTTACACTGAATGGTTTACCTGAAGAATTTGATGCTTTTAAAACCACAATCCGAACCAGATCCGAAGCCATCTCTATGGAAGAACTTTCATCTCTTCTATGCTCAAAATCTATTCACATGCATTCCAAGATCAAGAACATTAATACTCATAAACCTTCAGTTGCATATGCTGCTTCTCGTGGTTCTTCTCATGATTTTTCTTCTCAAGGCCGATCTTATTTCAAAGGTCACCGAGGTGGTTCTCGACATGGCTCCCGAGGACATTTTTCATCTAGAGGCAGAGGTCGACACTAATCCAGCAGTCAACATCACAATTTAATTTGTCAGATATGTGGAAAACCTAATCACTCAGCTCTGGAGTGTTGGCATCGATTGAATGAAAAATTATTCTGTTCAAAATCAGTCACAGCAAAATCAGTCACAACAATTTCCAAATCTGTCAAGGCCATCTTTAGCACAATCATCCTCTGGTTTTTCAAACACCAAAGCTTTTGTGGCCTCTGCTTCCTCTCCACATCAGTATGATTCCTCTCCTTGGTATCTTGATTCTGCTGCATCTGATCATATGACTCATGATTTGTCTCAGTTGAGTCTTCATCAACCATACCAAGGCACTGATCACATCACTATTGGTAATGGTAATTCAATCCCTATTCTTAATACTGGTAAGGGTCTTTTACCTACTCCACATCATACTTTTAAACTCAACAAAATCTTGCATACTCCTATTGCTTCCAATCTTGTGTCTGTGCACAAACTTACTAAAGATAATAATTGTACAATCACTTTTGATGATTCTTCCTTCACTGTTCGAGACAAGCACACCAAGGACATTCTACACAAGGGCCTCAATTCACATGGTTTATATCACTTTCATACATCCAAGCCCAAGCCTTTTTCTGCTGCTATTCCACCTTCTTCATTTCAGTCTCATAATGCATTCTGCAGTTCAACTACTAATAAAGTGTCTGCCACTGTTTGGCACAAGAGATTGGGGCATCCCTCATCTCTCAAGTTTAATAAGCTCAAACACTTTCTTTCTTCCACTTGTAATAAAACCAAGGATGATGATTTTACTTGTGTTCATTGTTGTGTAGCAAAGAGTCATAGATTACCTTTCAAACTGTCTAACTCTACTGTTCAAAAACCATTTTCTCTCATTTACAGTGATGTATAGGGACCTTTTTCCCTCTCTCTTTCTGGTTATAAATACTATGTACTCTTTGTTGATGAATATAGCAAATTTACTTGACTTTATCCGTTGTGTTACAAAAGTGAAGTCTTTGATAAATTTGTAGAATTCACCGCATATGTTGGTACTCAATTTTCCACTCACTTGCAAATCTTTCGTACGGATGGGGGTACTGAGCTTGTTAATTCCTCTATGACTAAATTTTTCAATTCTCATGGTATTCTTTATCAAATTTCTTCTCCCTATACACCTCCTCAGAATGGAGTCTCTGAGAGAAAACATAGACACATCACTGAGACTGCCATTGCACTGCTTCACCATTCTTCTATTCCTATTAAATATTGGTTTGATGCCATTTCTGCAGCCACTTATCTGATTAATCGCATGCCTAAGTCTAAGGCTCCTCATTCTTCTCCTTATGAATTATTGTTTCACAAAGCACCTGATTACTCTTTTCTGCGTGTGTTTGGATGTCAATGTTTTCCTTGGCTTAAGCCCCACAGTTCTCATAAACTTCAACCTAAATCTACTTTGTGTGTTTTTCTTGGTTATCATCCTTCTTACAAAGGATATAGGTGTCTTGATCCTTCCTCTGGTAAGGTTTCTCTATCTCGTCATGTCATCTTCCATGAAAATATTTTTCCTTTTGCTAGTATTTCTCCTCCTACTTCTCAGACCTTGTTTATGCTTCAATCCTTTTTCTGGTCTCCTTCTCCACCTATGGATCATCCCTCTGTTTCTGTTAGTTCACTGCCACCAGCTCCCATATCTCCTTCCTCTTCTTCCTCTTTACCTTCTTTAGCAGCTCCAGAAACAACATACTATTCGTATTTTATTGTGTGTGGCTCTGCATTATCACTGGCCTCTTAAACAACTTGACATTAGTAATGCCTTTCTCCATGGTACATTGGAAGAGGAAGTTTACATGACACAGCCTCCAGGCTTCACTAGCCCATCTCATCCCACTCATGTTTGTCTTTTAAGGAAGGCTCTCTATGGTTTAAAGCAGGCTCCTCGCGCCTGGTATTCTACCTTCTCCAGCTTTTTACTATCGCAAGGTTTTCTTAATAGTCAGTGTGACAATTCCTTATTCATTCAAAGGACTTCTTCAACTGTTACTCTTCTTCTTGTAAATGTTGATGACATTTTGGTTACTGGAAATAGCTCTTCTCATATTCAATCACTTCTTGCTCAAATGCATACTGCCTTTGCCATGAAGGAGCTCGGGGATATTTCCTATTTCTTGGGTATATCTATACAAGCTTATGGTGATTCCTATTTCTTATCTCAACACAAATATGCTTCTGATATCCTCATTAAAGCTGGTATGACCACTTGCAAGCCCTACAATTCCCCTATGTCAATTAAACCTTCTCTTGGTCCAGATTCTGCTCTTCCATTTAATCAACCAGAGCTTTATCGCAGTGTTGTTGGTGCACTTCAGTACCTTACGATCACCCGGCCTGACTTATCTTTCTCTGGTAACCAAGCTTGTAAACACATGCATGCTCCCACTAATGCTCATTTTGCTGCTGTCAAGCGACTGTTAAGATTTGTCAAAGGGACTCTAGCTCATGGGCGCACTTTCAGTCCTAGTTCTTTTGAACTTCAGGCCTTCTCCGACTCGAACTGGGCTGGTGATGCTCTCGATCGTCGCAGTTCTTCAGGCTACTGTGTGTATCTTGGGTCAAACCTTATTTCTTGGTCTGCTAAAAAGCAACCAACTGTCTCAAGATCCTAAACCGAAGCTGAATATCGCTCTCTCGCTCACACCACATCTGAGCTTATTTGGTTAACCATGTTACTTCGTGAACTTCAACTTCACTCTCTTATTCCTCATATCCTTTGGTGTGACAACCTGTCTGCTATTGCCTTGGCTTCCAATCCCGTGTTTCACACTCGGTCTAAACACATTGAAGTGGATTGTCACTGCATTCGTGAAAAGATTGCTGCCAAACAACTGCTTCTCAAATACATTCATTCTCTTGATTAGATTGCTGATATCTTCACAAAGCCTCTCTCAGTTTCACGATTTCACTGCCTTCAAGCCAAGCTTCTGGTCTCTCCCTCTCCCATTAGCTTGCCCGAGGGTGATAAGGATTCTAGTGCAGAAGCAACAGCCACAGCTTCAGCTTCAGCAGCAGCTTCTGATATGGCTACTTCAACATTCAAGAACAGAGCTTCAACTGCAGTTCCATATAGTCAGTTAGGAATTGGTTAGCTAATTGTTAGGAGTTAGTTACACTGTTAGGAGTTAGTTATCTGCTTAGATCAGTAGTAGTTTATCTTCTATAAATACAGCTTGTATGTACTATCAACATTAATAATAAGAAATGCATTTTCCACAAAAATTAGAAATCTTAGGGGCATAATGTAATTTCTAGAACTACAGGGATAATTTGTAATTTAAGTAAATCTCAAGAGTTGTGTTTGTAATTTATCCTATTGTTTTTGAAGATTGTTTTGGGGAATTATTAGATTTTTGAAATCATTAATTTTCAAGTCATTTTTTGATATCATATCTATTTGTCAATACATGAGACAAAATTTTAATTTTTATCTTCTTGTTGTATTATTATTATTATTATTATTATTATTATTATTATTATTATTATTTATGGAGATTAATGGACTTAAGGGGTGTATAAAAGATATTGAAAAATTTATAAAAGATATTGAAAAATTGTTAAAAGAGCACACACCAAGTCTTGGAATTGAGTTTGAGTTAAAAAGGAAGTTGCATTTTAGTTCTACAATGAATATGAAAGAATTATGAAATTTAATATTGAATGGGATTACCACACAAAAAGCAATAAATATGGTATAATAGTTAATAGAGAGTTTGTTTGCTGTAAAGAGAGAAAAAAATAGATAAATGAACGAAGTGAATTAGTAAAATAATCTTGGCACAGAAGAATTAATTGTAAAACATTCATGTATGTTTCCTTAGATTGGAGATTATTGAGATGCGTTGTTACAAAGTTTGATGTTACCCATAACTATATTATGCATCTTTCTCAATGTGTTCATATGATGCCATTTCAAAGTGATACAGCGCGAAATGTGAAATAGTAACAACCTTAAAATCCATCGAGTCAAATAAGATGACCGGAAGTAAAATTTTCCTTTACACTCGTTGATTAACAAAGAATACCAAGAATAAAGGCTCAACAATGGTTGATTCTTAAAAAAATACCTAAGGTTGGAACAAAAGAGTATATCAACTCACAATTTCATTAATTATCAAAAGCTTTTTTTTCCCTAAGATGTACAACCATTATTTATAATAAGCCTAATTCTTGAAAAAAAAGAAACTAATAAAATAGGAAATAAAATCGAAACTAATAAAATATGAAACTAACTAAATCAACACAATTTAAGAAGCATAATAATTTTACGTTCTACACTAAACTAGAAGATTATAAAATAATAATACCAAAATAAATAAAATTAAAATATAAGAATAATAAAATCTCATCAGCATCATTCCCCCCCCTTTAAAAAATTTGTCCTCCATTACTCGAAATAATTTGATACATCTGCTCATGTCTGCATCCTTTTTCTATTTAAAATTGATTTTTTCCATCAATGGATAAGTAAAACCCGTAGATAGGAATATACGTTCAACCACTTGTGAATACATAACAATATAAATATCACAGTATAAGTTTTTAGGTATTTGGAATGATCAGTGGTTCAAAAAATCCAATCAATATAGCAATCTTGCAAGACTAAATTTGAATCTTGATCATTGGCTTCAAACATCTTTCGCAAGCTCTTCTCAGAATAATCTTTTGTAATTTCTTTAACATTAAATAGCTCTTCATAAAAAATTGGTGATTTATTCCAATCCACACTACAAGAATCTACACTTTTAGCGACCACTTTCCGCGACCAATGTAAAAGTTGGTAGCTAAAAGTTACCTTTTGGCGACCAAATATTAATTAGTCACGAATGATCATTATTTTTGGTGACCAAATATTATTGGTCGCAGCAGGTTATATTTTGGCGACCAAAAAATGAGTTGGTCGCAGAAAGTGGTATGCTTTTGCCGACCAACTACAAATTTGGTCGCGAAAGGTCACATATTTTTTTGGTCGCCAAAACCTTATTTTCAGCAACCAAAAAAAATTAGTCGCCAAATTTATACTTTTAGTGACTAATATTTTAGTCGCCGTTGATTGAGATTTGGCGACTAAAAACGTTTGTCAGCGAAGGTACCTTTTCTGCAACTAATATGGTCTTTTGGTCGCCAAAAGTTTGGGAGGGAAATTTGATTTTTAATGGGGCGGGAATTGAAATTTTTTTGCGACAATAAATTTGGTCGCCAATTTTAAAACGACGTCGTTTTGTACCATGAAAGCAGAAAAAAAATTAAAATAAAAAAAGTCCTAATCTCCCTTGTCTCTATCTCGCTCTTTGTGTCTCGGTCCGCCCTCTCCCTCTCTGTGTTCTTTCTCTCAATCGGTGCCCACTCTCTCTAGCTCACCGAAGTCCCTTACCACCAAGGTTTTAAAAAGCAGCCGCAACCGTTACGTAACGCCGTTACGTAACGGTTTTGGCGGTTACCGCCACCCGTTACGGCCGCTTTTGCAGTGTGATTGAGATTCACAGGTGTAATAAGGCAAACCAATCTTCTCAGATTCTAACGTGCGATAGCTAGAATAATCGCTCTGCTCGCTCAACATAACATCTGAGCTTATTTGGTTCCTAAACTGTTCTGCGTGAACTCTTCACCATCTCTTATTCTCTCAATCCTTTGGCTGTGACAACCTGTCTGCTATTGCCTTGGCTCTCAATCCCCGTGTTTCACACTCGTCTATAACACATTGGAAGTGGAATTGTCAACTGCCATTCGTGTAAAAGATTGTCCTGCCAAACAACTGATCCTCATAATACATTCCATGCTCTTGAATTAGAGTTGTTGAAATCTTCACAAAGCCTCTCTCAGTTTCAACGATTTCATACTACTTAAGCAGCTTTGGTCTCTCCCTCTCATTAGCTTGCCTAGATGGTGATAGGATTCTAGTGGCAAAATGAAGCAACAGTCCACAGCGTTTGGAATCACTCTTCAGCACAATCATCCTCTGGTTTTTCAAACACCAGAGCTTTTGTGGCCTCTGCTTCCTCTCCACCTTAGTATGATTCCTCTCCTTGGTATCTTGATTCTGCTGCATCTGATCATATGACTCATGATTTGTCTCAGTTGAGTCTTCATCAACCATACCAAGGCACTGATCACATCACTATTGGTAATGGTAATTCAATCCCTATTCTTAATACTGGTAAGGGTCTTTTACCTACTCCACATCATACTTTTAAACTCAACAAAATCTTGCACACTCCTATTGCTTCCAATCTTATGTCTGTGCACAAACTTACTAAAGATAATAATTGTACAATCACTTTTGATGATTCTTCCTTCATTGTTCAGGACAAGCACACCAAGGACATCCTACACAAGGGCCTTAATTCACATGGTTTATATCACTTTCATACATCCAAGCCCAAGCCTTTTTCTGCTGCTATTCCACCTTCTTCATTTCAGTCTCATAATGCATTCTGCAGTTCAACTACTGATAAAGTGTCTGCCACTGTTTGGCACAAGAGATTGGGGCATCCCTCATCTCTCAAGTTTAATAAGCTCAAACACTTTCTTTCTTCCACTTGTAATAAAACCAAGGATGATGATTTTACTTGTGTTCATTGTTGTGTAGCAAAGAGTCATAGATTACCTTTCAAACTGTCTAACTCTACTGTTCAAAAACCATTTTCTCTCATTTACAGTGATGTATAGGGACCTTTTTCCCTCTCTCTTTCTGGTTATAAATACTATGTACTCTTTGTTGATGAATATAGCAAATTTACTTGACTTTATCCATTGTGTTACAAAAGTGAAGTCTTTGATAAATTTGTAGAATTCACCGCATATGTTGGTACTCAATTTTCCACTCACTTGCAAATCTTTCATACGGATGGGGGTACTGAGCTTGTTAATTCCTCTATGACTAAATTTTTCAATTCTCATGGTATTCTTTATCAAATTTCTTGTCCCTATACACCTCCTCAGAATGGAGTCTCTGAGAGAAAACATAGACACATCACTGAGACTGCCATTGCACTGCCTCACCATTCTTCTATTCCTATTAAATATTGGTTTGATGCCATTTCTACAGCCACTTATCTGATTAATCGCATGCCTAAGTCTAAGGCTCCTCATTCTTCTCCTTATGAATTATTGTTTCACAAAGCACCTGATTACTCTTTTCTGCGTGTGTTTGGATGTCAATGTTTTCCTTGGCTTAAGCCCCACACTTCTCATAAACTTCAACCTAAATCTACTTTGTGTGTTTTTCTTGGTTATCATCCTTCTTACAAAGGATATAGGTGTCTTGATCCTTCCTCTGGTAAGGTTTCTCTATCTCGTCATGTCATCTTCCATGAAAATATTTTTCCTTTTGCTAGTATTTCTCCTCCTACTTCTCAGACCTTGTCTATGCTTCAATCCTTTTTCTGGTCTCCTTCTCCACCTATGGATCATCCCTCTGTTTCTGTTAGTTCACTGCCACCAGCTCCCATATCTCCTTCCTCTTCTTCCTCTTTACCTTCTTTAGCAGCTCCAGAAACAACATACTATTCGCATTTTATTGTGTGTGGCTCTGCATTGTCACTGGCCTCTTAAACAACTTGACATTAGTAATGCCTTTCTCCATGGTACATTGGAAGAGGACGTTTACATGACACAGCCTCCAAGCTTCACTAGTCCATCTCATCCCACTCATGTTTGTCTTTTAAAGAAGGCTTTCTATGGTTTAAAGCAGGCTCCTCGTGCTTGGTATTCTACCTTCTCCAGCTTTTTACTATCGCAAGGTTTTCTTAATAGTCAGTGTGACAATTCCTTATTCATTCAAAGGACTTCTTCAACTGTTACTCTTCTTCTTGTAAATGTTGATGACATTTTGGTTACTGGAAATAGCTCTTCTCATATTCAATCACTTCTTGCTCAAATGCATACTGCCTTTGCCATGAAGGAGCTCGGGGATATTTCCTATTTCTTGGGTATATCTATACAAGCTTATGGTGATTCCTATTTCTTATCTCAACACAAATATGCTTCTGATATCCTCATTAAAGCTGGTATGACCACTTGCAAGCCCTACAATTCCCCTATGTCAATTAAACCTTCTCTTGGTCCAGATTCTGCTCTTCCATTTAATCAACCAGAGCTTTATCGCAGTGTTGTTGGTGCACTTCAGTACCTTACGATCACCCGACCTGACTTATCTTTCTCTGGTAACCAAGCTTGTAAACACATGCATGCTCCAACTAATGCTCATTTTGCTGCTGTCAAGCGACTGTTAAGATTTGTCAAAGGGACTTTAGCTCATGGGCGCACTTTCAGTCCTAGTTCTTTTGAACTTCAGGCCTTCTCCGACTCGAATTGGGCTGGTGATGCTCTCGATCGTCGCAGTTCTTCAGGCTACTGTGTGTATCTTGGGTCAAACCTTATTTCTTGGTCTGCTAAAAAGCAACCAACTGTCTCACGATCCTCAACCGAAGCTGAATATCGCTCTCTCGCTCACACCACAGCTGAGCTTACTTGGTTAACCATGTTACTTCGTGAACTTCAACTTCACTCTCCTATTCCTCCTATCCTTTGGTGTGACAACCTGTCTGCTATTGCCTTGGCTTCCAATCCCGTGTTTCACACTCGGTCTAAACACATTGAAGTGGATTGTCACTGCATTCGTGAAAAGATTGCTGCCAAACAACTGCTTCTCAAATACATTCATTCTCTTGATTAGATTGTTGATATCTTCACAAAGCCTCTCTCAGTTTCACGATTTCACTACCTTCAAGCCAAGCTTCTGGTCTCTCCCTCTCCCATTAGCTTGCCTGAGGGTGATAAGGATTCTAGTGCAGAAGCAACAGCCACAGCTTCAGCTTCAGCAGCAGCTTCTGATATGGCTACTTCGACATTCAAGAACAAAGCTTCAACTGCAGTTCCATATAGTCAGTTAGGAATTGGTTAGCTAATTGTTAGGAGTTAGTTATAGTGTTAGGAGTTTGTTATCTGCTTAGATCAGCAGTAGTTTATCTTCTATAAATACAGCTTGTATGTACTATCAACATTAATAATAAGAAATGCATTTTCCACAAAATTAGAAATCTTAGGGGCATAATGTAATTTCTAGAACTACAGGGATAATTTGTAATTTAAGTAAATCTCAAGAGTTGTGTTTGTAATTTATCCTATTGTTTTTGAAGATTGTTTTGGGGAATTATTAGATTTTTGAAATCATTAATTTTCAAGTCATTTTTTGATATCATATCTATTTGTCAATACATGAGACAAAATTTTAATTTTTATCTTCTTGTTGTATTATTATTATTATTATTATCATTTTTTGTTGTATTATTATTATTATTATTATTATTATTTATGGAGATTAATGGACTTAAGGGGTGTATAAAAGATATTGAAAAATTTATAAAAGATATTGAAAAATTGTTAAAAGAGCACACACCAAGTCTTGGAATTGAGTTTGAGTTAAAAAGGAAGTTGCATTTTAGTTCTACAATGAATATGAAAGAATTATGAAATTTAATATTGAATGGGATTACCACACAAAAAGCAATAAATATGGTATAATAGTTAATAGAGAGTTTGTTTGCTGTAAAGAGAGCAAAAAATAGATAAATGAACGAAGTGAGTTAGTAAAATAATCTTGGCACAGAAGAATTAATTGTAAAACATTCATGTATGTTTCCTTAGATTGGAGATTATTGAGATGCGTTGTTACAAAGTTTGATGTTACCCATAACTATATTATGCATCTTTCTCAATGTGTTCATATGATGCCATTTCAAAGTGATACAGCGCGAAATGTGAAATAGTAACAACCTTAAAATCCATCGAGTCAAATAAGATGACCGGAAGTAAAATTTTCCTTTACACTCGTTGATTAACAAAGAATACCAAGAATAAAGGCTCAACAATGGTTGATTCTTAAAAAAATACCTAAGGTTGGAACAAAAGAGTATATCAACTCACAATTTCATTAATTATCAAAAGCTTTTTTTTCCCTAAGATGTACAACCATTATTTATAATAAGCCTAATTCTTGAAAAAAAAGAAACTAATAAAATAGGAAATAAAATCGAAACTAATAAAATATGAAACTAACTAAATCAACACAATTTAAGAAGCATAATAATTTTACGTTCTACACTACTAGAAGATTATAAAATAATAATACCAAAATAAATAAAATTAAAATATAAGAATAATAAAATCTCATCAGCATCATTCCCCCCGCTTTAAAAAATTTGTCCTCCATTACTCGAAATAATTTGATACATCTGCTCATGTCTGCATCCTTTTTGTATTTAAAATTGATTTTTTCCATCAATGGATAAGTAAAACCCGTAGATAGGAATATACGTTCAACCACTTGTGAATACATAACAATATAAATATCACAGTATAAGTTTTTAGGTATTTGGAATGATCAGTGGTTCAAAAAATCCAATCAATATAGCAATCTTGCAAGACTAAATTTGAATCTTGATCATTGGCTTCAAACATCTTTCGCAAGCTCTTCTCAGAATAATCTTTTCTAATTTCTTTAACATTAAATAGCTCTTCATAAAAAATTGGTGATTTATTCCAATCCACACTACAAGAATCTACACTTTTAGCGACCACTTTCTGCGACCAATGTAAAAGTTGGTAGCTAAAAGTTACCTTTTGGTGATCAAATATTAATTAGTCACGAATGATCATTATTTTTGGCGACCAAATATTATTGGTCGCAGCAGGTTATATTTTGGCGACCAAAAAATGAGTTGGTCGCAGAAAGTGGTATGCTTTTGCCGACCAACTACAAATTTGGTCACGGAAGGTCACATATTTTTTGGCGACCAAAAATTTGGTCGCCAAAACCTTATTTTCAGCAACCAAAAAAAATTAGTCGCCATTTATACTTTTAGTGACTAATATTTTAGTCGCCGTTGATTGAGATTTGGCGACTAAAAAAGTTTGTCAGCGAAGGTACCTTTTCTGCAACTAATATGGTCTTTTGGTCGCCAAAAGTTTGGGAGGGAAATTTGATTTTTAATGGGGCGGGAATTGAAATTTTTTTGCGACAATAAATTTGGTCGCCAATTTTAAAACGACGTCGTTTTGTACCATGAAAGCAGAAAAAAAATTAAAATAAAAAAAGTCCTAATCTCCCTTGTCTCTATCTCGCTCTTTGTGTCTCGGTCCGCCCTCTCCCTCTCTGTGTTCTTTCTCTCAATCGGTGCCCACTCTCTCTAGCTCACCGAAGACCCTCACCACCAAGGTTTTAAAAAGCAGCCGCAACCGTTACGTAACGCCGTTACGTAATGGTTTTGGCGGTTACCGCCACCCGTTACGGCCGCTTTTGCAGTGTGATTGAGATTCACAGGTGTATCGGCCGTAGCGGTCGTAACGGTGCATAACAGGTTACGGCTGTTACGCACCGTTATGTAACAGTTCCAAACTGTTTCTTTCAAAAAAACACACAAAAAAAAGCTGAAAATGGAGGAAGAGGGATAGAAAGAGAAGGGAAGATAAATGGAGAAAATGGAGAAGCAAGAGATAGAGAGAAAGAAGAGGGAAGATGAAGAATATGTTATTGATTTGTTGAAGCTGTAAGACCTATACTATTCTATTCTGCTGCTATCACTCAACCATTTTGTTTGTGTGTGTTTATCTATATATTGTTTGAAAATAATAATAATAATAATAATAAGTGTGGTCATTATCTATTTGGCTTAGTTAAAATATGTATATATATATTTAGGCTCTTATTTATTCTCTTACTTTTGTCATTGTTTATCTTATATATAATAGTTAGTGATTGATTTTTTGCATAATATAAAGTCATTAATTATTAAAATAAAATGTAAAAAACTTAGTTTATAATGATTTAAAAATATGAAATATATTGGATCAAACTTAAAAATTTACAAAAATTGATCAATATTTATTTTTAACCCAATAAATATGATCTTGGAAAAAAAATATCCGTATCGGTAAGTTTTTTTCAAATTGTGCGAAAAATAAAAAAATTCACGGTTCCAGTTACCGCAACCGTTACACTATAGCCTTTACACCCCGCAACCGCAACTACGCCACCGCCACCGTTACGGCGACCGCAACCGCTTTTTAGAACCTTGCTCACCACCGTTGCTCACATCTCTTCATCGGAATCCTCCACTGGAAAATCAACAGCCACCGAAGCTAATACGATGCCCAAGGACTGTAACAAGAGCGATAGCAGCATTATCGGTAGCAGTAGTAGTAACCAAAGCAGCGCTAGTATTAGAGTATTGCTGGATATGGCTTTTGGTAATGGAAATCCGATGGAGATCGATGAAAATCTGCACAGCAGACAGCTAGCTGCGTACGGACGCGAGATTATGAGGCGGCTCTTCGCCTCTAACGTCCTTGTCTCCAGGATGCAAGGCCTCGGTGTCAAAATTGGTAGGACTTTTGAACCTTGCTGGTTGTTAATTTTGTGTAATTTTAGTGATTAACACAATAGGATGGATTGTGTGATTTTGAACCTAGAGTAGTTTTTGACATCTGATTACGGAGTTGCATATTCTTAACTTATGCATCAGATTTTTTACATTTTTATTCAGATCATTCTTCATTTAGAGAATGGTCTAAATAAAACTTTTGAGATCACTTAATTTACCGTTGTTGAATGGAAGTGTGTCATGTTTCAAAACGTGCATACTAATATATAATTTGCTAGGGTATTAGTATTTTATGGGAACACAAATTTAGACCCTATGCCCATTCACCATACTGATTCGTATTTATTTGTTTGTTAATCTAACAATTTATGTTATTTGATTTTTGGTTTCTTTCTGAAAAGGAATCTATATATAGTTTTTTTTGTGGTTATGTTGAACTCTCATATTAGAATTAAGTGTGTGATTTTCTACAATTCAACGTTTTCCTCTATATATGCATCAAACTGTTAATATTTTTCCAACTTGTGTCAGGAATTCGACTAAGATATTAGTAATAATAACAACAAACAGTTATGAAAAAACAATTTTAATAGAGTTGTGTTCCTTATTTATTTAAATTATGGGTTTTTTTATATTAAAAAAAAATGGGCACCAGCAATGGGCATGAGATCGCACACCTTGCGCGGCCATCTCAAGAGTATATATTAGTTACTAAACTGTGCCAATTTGATTGAGAAACTTAGTTCTGGGTTTGATTCTAAAGGTAAATATTTTGGTTATCTGATTTAGAATTTCTCTTAACTCTTGAGCTTCACCGTTGATGCTCACAACTGATGAACCACATGCTTAGTTAAATGTTGTATATAAATACCAGAACCTGTTATTTTATGTTTAGTTGTAAATACCACATGCTTAGTTATGTGCTCTGTAGCACCGTATCAAATTTTGGAATTAGTTCCTCTAGTACTTGCAATACATGTTGGTTGTACAAATACTTGAAATGTTATGAGAATATAGCTGTTGGCATTTTTTGCTGCTGGGCTTTTATGCAAGATTAACACAGTTTTAGTTTTCCCATCACATATTTGAAATGCAAGTTCTATTTTTTGTTTTGCTTGGGTGGTTCTCTTGGATGGCATTACAATGCGTGGTTGTGCAGGAATTTCAGTCCATGGGCATTTCATGTCGCAACTGATAAAACTGTATATATTGTTTCAGTGAAGGAATAATGCATGTAATTTCATAACCCAAAAAGTGCTCACACTTGTTTCTAATGATCTCTCATCTTTAAAATGTCCTTTTCCTTCTTCTTTATTTTTATTTTTTAAAGATGGGGAGCTTTAAGAAATCTTTAAGTCAATTTCAGAGAGAGGAAATAAAATATGCATGAGATCCCTAAATCATAGGATTACCATCACCTGCATTAAGGTTTAAACATTTAATTTTATCTAGGTGGAGATGGGAGGTTGATGGGGTTATGCTTAAAGGAGCTTAAATTTCCTTTTTAAACTAACCATTGCCC